CCTGCCAGGAGTTGGAGAGCCTCTGTGAGCCCTTGCTGTCACCTGGGTTACTGTCATGTCTTGATTCAGAAACTAACCCTGATTGTATTTGTTTGCCTCATACTAATTGACCCTGATGTAACATAAAGCAGGTCCTCACGTTGCCACTCCTGGGTGCACATTGGGATTTACCTGCCAGTAAATCCAGAGGCTGGTTAAGTGTTAGATGGAAAGAAATGCAACCCTCCCCCAGCTAGCTTTTGATGCTAGGATTTTTTTGGGTTTAATCTGTTTACCATGACATTCCTATTAATGGTTTCATCATCAATTCTGCTTTCCCACCAGTATTACGGATGGGGTTTCCAGATGGGCAGTCCTAGCTGTCAGCTGCTTGTCCCTTCTCCATGGCCAGAGGCTACCAAATGAGTCTCGTACCTGGCCACACTGTTAGTCCTGTGGCAAGTGTGCCCAGGGCTGGCCATCTCACTTTTTGAAACTCTTTCAAAGGGTGCTTTTAATGCATCCACCACATTTGCCTAATGGCCTCAGGAAAGTGAAAAGGAGAGGCTTTTGTTAGACTGTTAAGGAGTGTTTGGCTGATGTTGTGAGCTCCAGGCCTCCGGGTCCCTCTGCTTGTGTTTTCTCCTTACTTCTGTGTGAGCTCTAAGTCAGGCAAGCTGTGGCTGTAAACACAGAAAGAACTGCAGGCAGCGGTTTTCTTAGCTGACAACCTGAGAGGGGCTTTGCTAGCAAGGGAGATCAAGGAAGGTTACTGACAAAAGGCAGCAAGGGACTCTCCCTCCAGATAAAAAAGCAAAGGAGTTATAAGTAACGTGCTGAAGTACACAGACAAAGTTAGCCAAGCTATTTTGACCATAAAGCCCAGGACAGTAAAGGCTCTTAATCTCTTATTAATCAACAAGAAGCTGGAAGAGGCCATACAATGAACTCAGCTGCCAAAGCTGCAGTGGCCTTTTGCTCCCTTTAATTTAATTGTATTCATCCTGCCCACATCCTTTGTTCTTTTCCCCACTCAGGAAATCTGCTGCTGGTTTTGGCACTGCTCACTCTGGTTCCACATGGCTGGTTTGTGGACAGCCAGGAGGGATGAGAAGGAGGGCAGGAAGGGGAAGAGGATGGGAAAAGGTCCCATGGGAGCAACCTGCTTGATGTGCTTCATTTGTCTTAACAGTGCCACTGCATCCCTTCCTGGTGAAGCTTCCTCCTGATAAGCCAAATAGGCAAAATTGAATGCAGAAGGACTCTGGCTGATATCAGCAGAGATGACAGTTCATGCTTAAATCTTAA